ACGGCTCTCCACACGCTGGCAGAGTGCCCGGCGTGGGTTGAGCAGAGGCGAGACCTTGTGGCGGTCATCGGAGTGGGAGTTCTCTCGCTCGATAGCCTGATTGCGTCTATCGTGCGGAGCGAGAGTGCGTGGAACTCTGCCGTCTCCTTCTGCGAGCAAGTTATGCTCGCGAAGGAGACGGCGGAGCGGGACCGGGAGAGGTTTAGGACTCTCCCGGCCCGCCAGGCCCGGGAACGGGCCAGGTACCGCAGGCGACTCAGGCGCCGGAGGTCGCAGAACGACCTCCGTCCTCCATAAGCGCAAGCCTGGGGGTGACAGGTGAGGCCATCTGTCACCCTAGCAGAAGCAGGCCGGGGTGGCGAAGAGCGCGTTGCGAAGCGCGCTCGCTTCCAGGGAGCACAGGGAACATGGGGTTCCCACACGGGGGAGGGTCGTCTACTCGTCTGTAGATGACCCGAGATATGTCGGGGCACCAGGGACTTCCTTTCTAGGGTATACCTGGTTCCCCGGCTATTAGTACCCGAGACGGCGTGCGGTTTTAGTCGGATCGAGTCCGACATGCCACCGACAGGTGGTATCCGAGGGAATGGGAAAGAAAACCATGACAACTCGCGCATCAATCACCATCACTGACAACTACAGTAACGGGCCATTCAATAATATTAATCTTCAAAAAAAATAAATTAAAAAATATTCTGTAAACGACAATGTTATGAAAATACGAAGTATTGAATAATACTCGTAGCACGAACGATAAAGCCGATAAATACGATACGATAAAGCCTGGTTTTAAATCGTTCTTTCTCTATCATTCATAATAATCATTAATTACCTGCAATACCTTATACGAATACTCCCCCCGCCGTATCTAGCACTTTTTCTGTCTGTCTGCTTGAAGGCGTAAAACTCTGGAGATATAATAACATTACGACAGCGAAACTGAACTGAACGCAAATACTCGTATGCTGTGCTACCCGTGTGTGCAGTTTGCAAGTAACTGTTTGTTAATATAAAAGTTACTGAGCTTCACCGCCTTCGCCAACAATAATTATTTGCAAAATCAGTGAAGAGTTATGGTATTTATATCGGCACATTGCTCCAACAAGTAGGACAATGTAAAATGAAATTAAACGCTGGGTACAATAAAAATATTTATAACATTCATGAACTAAAGAGCAAGATAGTCATATTTACTTGCTAAAAAGTAATCAATATCTCTGAAATATCTTTGAAAACGTGAATTACGTATTTTACCAATACATAAATACACACAAATGCCACATTCCACGAGATCTCTTAAAACAAAACTTTTAAAGTAATTATGTATGTTAAAGGTCGCCTAGCGATGTACCATTTTAAATCCTTTCCTTAATTTAATTAACCAGTATAACTCAAACTGTTTTTGTAGAGACTTTCATACTACGACTTGTCCAACTTTATACTGGATACCCCTGCTATTTAATGTAGCCTTATTATAAAATATTCTCTGCATTTCTTTTGCGCTTCTTGGAACACTTAACATTAGTATGTGAAAACTAAGTTTTCATAATATAATATTCTTCCGGGCGCGATTTTATTTAAAAGGGGGTACAAAGATTCTTCTTTACGTATTAAATTAGAGATATATACTACACTATGCGAACGAATGCCTGACGTTTCGATCAGGTTGCGCTAGCCGTGGGCACAGTCTGATTGTCCTCAGCAAAGCCACAGTATCAGCTTCACATCAGCACCCGTAGATAAACACAGTGGCGTAGGCGGATGGTTTGCCTAATAATTAATTATACAATGCAAGCTCACAACGCTTGTTCAATACAGACCCTTTGTTACGGACGTATATTGATAATGGAATTTAAATGTGTAGCACGTGTCAATCAAATTTCTCAGTAATTTGCAGTATTGTCGTTCTTTTAGACATGTTTAAATCCATACGATTATTAATTTTATCGTGTCGTAATTAAAAAAAAAACTACAATGTTTTATGTTTTCTTAGAAAAGGCCAAACAATAGTATAAGATGCAGAATTTCACCATTTTATGTTATACTTTTATCTCATGTGCTTTTACCCAACTTAAAGAAGCGTTATGTTTTACGGAGAAAAATCCAGGACCTCAGCACAATACCTATTTCTAATGTATGTAATCCCACTTATATTCTTGTCCATATAAGTACACACAAACATCGCCTGTATATGTTATACCATCCAAAATTTTACATTCACTAAAAATAGATCATATAAGTAGGTAGGCAGTGGAAAATCTTAGCGAGTTTCAAATCCGTATGTTATTCCCAATATCCGGCGGCGAGGCCGGGTATATCCTTGTGCGGATACATGGTGTACTCATAAAATATACTAAAAACGACTTGGATGTGTATAACACACCTAGTTTATTTTGAGATTGAACTCAAATAGGAATGTATAATAAAAACCGTGAGTCTATTGGTTTACGTTAGGTTTATATTTATCATTGCCTTAAATTATTGAAATAAACTTTGCTCTTAATAGTATTTTTTAAATTAACTGTAGGTATGGCAAAGTTAAAAGTGTTAAGTCATTCGAATAGCATCAGCTATTGTCTAATCGTTCTCTTTGGTCTAATTTAATCAAAATTTGAGGTTTTTTGGTTGAGTTTAATTTTTATATTTTATGTAGGCTTTCAATGTAATGTATTACCTAAATGCCTTACCACTTCAAGGTGAAATGATAGTTAAACGCCATAACCTCAAAATTTATTTCAACTTTATCCCTCAACTTTACTGAAATATATTTGAATGAAATTGGTTTTTAAATATCAATTTGTGTGTGAAATAGTGAATAATATTGTATAAAATTTATGAAAACAACAAAGCCAAACACCACCTGTCGATACCAGGAATGTTAAGGTGCTAGTGCCTCTTTCTTAGGTCACGTCTACGCATTCTCGTTCCATGTGCACGAGGTTCTTACAAAAACAGACGCAGAACAACGATTTGTGAATCACACAAAGTGTTGTCCCATGTGGGGATCGAACCCACTACACTCAACGCAGTCGGAAGCAGAAGCGGTGACCGAGGCCCTCTTATTTCAAGGGTCCCATCGTAGTCCACACCCTGGCGCCGCAATTGTGATCAACTCTGACCTCGTACTGGTTTAGGCCCTGATTAACGGGAGGTGGCTCTTCAACAAGCACTTCCGACAGCTTGCTGCGGTTGCTGCACCGTGTCTACGGAGGCGGTGTGAGCGTTGGCCGGAACAGACTCGTAGGATTTAGAAGCGGAAGTATATCGGCGGACGGCTGAATTCTGGGCAAGTAGCGGCAGTTGGCCCTCTCCTGAAGTGGTACGCGGGTGGCGTGAGGCCGCTCGCCGAGCCACGATGACTTGTTGCTTGAGGCTCGACGTGCTGGCTTGCCCCCGTAGACTTGCGCTTCAGACTATCATAGTCTAGTAGGTACCTTTTCCTTCCGACTGCCTCAGGTCCATTCCAGGCACGGCTGCTGAGTAAATTGAGTACCGCCTGGGCCAATTTGCCCAGCTTGGGCGTTGCAGCCATCAGAGAGGATCTCTCGCTGCCGGCCGTAACACGCGCCATGGCCGGTAGCGACAGATGTTCCATCGCTTTCGCATTCTTCGGCGAAAATGTAATCGCGGGAAAGGAGGCGGCGTCGGCGGAGAGGACTCTGGCAGAAGATTTTCACTAGGGCCTAATTCGTCGCCAGCAATCAGGGTTTCGGAGGCGCGTATTCTAAGACCTCATGCCACCCTGAGTGATGATTAGTAAAAAACTAGTTAAAATTACTAATATATTTTGTAATGTTAAACCGCTATTGGAATATTTAAAAAACCCATATTGACAAAGATACATTTCACAAAGCGTATAGTATTTTTCAAAAACAGATGTTGAAGTATTCGGTAAAATATTGTTATTTTTGTTAAATTTTCGAGACTTTTCTACCTAAAATTTGCTGTCCTAGGCTCCAGCCGTCTCAGCCAGCTGCTGAATCCGCCACTGCCCTTCAGAAGCAAATAGTACCCGTACAAATATTTAAAGTCGGAATCCGAATGACAGTTGTTAGCCGACTGCGGTCTCGTTTCAAAAGCGTGTGTTACTCGTACATATAACACGACGAGATGGCTCAAACCGCATTTAATTTGCCACCAAACTTCATATTCTACTTACTACAATTGAAATGAATTATGTAGATATCCGAAAACACTAACTAATACACTAGTAACTAGGTACTAACGATATATAAAATGTTATGTTTGTGAATGATTCTCCTATGGAAGAAAAAAATAATTATGTAAATATCGGTCTTTTTGGTTTTTACTTCATGTCCTGAATAAATAAAATGTTTATCTAATGCTGATACGGAGTACAATCACACAACTTTTTGTTATTTCTTTTACTTGAAGTGGATTGAAGATTATTATCGAAAACGATGAGTCAAACGATAAAAAATGTTTATCACATTTAGCTTTTGGTTTACAGCCAGCAACGTTTTAGTAGAATTCAGTTTTATGTAAGAAGGGAGTTTATTACAGAATATTCATCACAGTCTACACTTTGGCATCTTTGCATCTTTGGTGAGCCCAAAATCTTGGTCTTCGTGACGATGATCGGATGATGAGGTAAGGAAAATGATGAGGTTTATAATTCTCAGGAAGGAGACAACGAAGCGGGACTGCGAGAGTAGTATATTATATAAAATAATCATTATAGTTTCAATCACTATTAATTGAATATAGCTTTGTCATACACATAGCATGGTCTAAGCATCTATAAATTTTACAGTAATTATAAAATTGTTCGGTTTTGTATTATATATTCGCCATCTCATCTCAGAACAATAATTTAAACAAGCTGATAAAAAAAAATGCTTAAATGGTTGGAAGGTATTGATAATTATCCTTAGAAATATTTCAACTTTAACTAACTAATTTATTATTACTAAGAAATAATAATTTATATATGTGTAAATATATTTATAGTTGTACTAAACATATGTTATGATTTGTAGTAATAAGAGGAAGAAGGAACAAGAATGGAAGGTACATGAAGTTAAAAATCCTTCAAATACGACGACATTGAAGTGTTAGGAGACTAACAGAAGGCTCTTTAATATAAAACTAACATTCTCAATTTTCTTAGCAATTATGTTACTGGACGATGAAAATTTGTAAAAACTATTAACCTCGGCAAAATAATATCTACGGAAAAGATAGTTACGATACACATATACGTACAGGTATACAGAAAATGGAGGCGTCTATGCACTGTTTCACTTTTAGCATAATTGAATGTAATTTAATTTAAGTATTAATAAAAGTCTTTATATCGGCAAAAACCATCACTGATGAGGTTGTTTTCTTTTTACTGTTTGTCTGGACCGGATAATGATTGATTTTTTACGAATTCTGTTTATATTACAGTTACACAATAACTAAATATACACGTACATACATATACATACAAAACGATTCTAAAAGATAACTTACTTAGTAGGTTTTTTTTTGACGAAAGCTTTCTCCTATTAATGCTCACTCCCGAAAAGGGATTAAGAACAATTAGATTGTTCGTGCAATCTCTGAGTAACTCATTTAGTATTAACGTATTGGCATAAGATCAATTTTAAATTACATATTTCTATTATATTGCATTCAGCACACCTATCTATTAATAAATTAATGAATATATGATCCCACGCGATGGAGTAGTCTATTTCTCAGTCAAAAAAATAAAGAATATGCCCTGCTCGACAAATTAAATCTGCAAGCATTATAATTGATATTAGTATAATCATAGTAGTAATTTTTTATATGTATGTCTAAAAAGAGTAATAGTTTATATACAAAAATACTATTAACCCTATGCTTAATGGATTTATCGGAAAATGGGCAAGGAGAAAGTTCTTTGTTTTGGTTTCGCAAAAGCATATTACTGTTATTAGTTTGTAGCCGAAATTGTTCTTTTCTCGGGTAATGCTCATTAATAATTAGGAGTCAATAGGCAATGTAATTATTTGTCTCTTTCTGTAACTGTAATGCTCCGGATAAAATTTGAACTCGGGG